AGTATATCCTCCATTCTAAGGCTTCTTAACCTATCTATAAATAGTGCCTAAATCACCTTTAACGGTAAGTTGTATTAACAGACGAATGGACAAGAAAAGGTTTTTTGTTTAACTCCAATTTTGGTGAATAACTAAATGGCAAAGTTTGAGGAACTTTTAATTGGAGAGGTAATTCTGACAAATAAATTGGCAAGATATATAGAGAATTTTTTTGTGATCTTGCAGGATAGTAAGGATAGTTTCCTATTTTCACATAACCAGCGTGAAAGGATTACTAAACTCACAATAGAATTATAAGAAAATAGTTAGACACAAATGTTAGAAGGAAGCCAGATATACTCTAGTTATGCTCTTAATTTTCCTTCTGACCATAATTACAAAATTAGGGTTGGAATTTTAAAATCTAAGATTATTAGGAGTACGAGGCTTGACGATTAAAATTATCTGAAGGGAGAATTAAGAGTGAATTTTATTACTGTAGAATAATTATCATTTGGGCTTAATTGATAACAATAGCTCTTTAATGAGGAGACTATTTGGCCAGAAATAGGCAAGCTGAGACTTTTTCTCATGCTCTACTCTTGCTGTCATGTTTTCTTTTTAAGAAGATAGGAGAACTAGTAAGGAAGTGAGAGTTAGAAAGCTTGCAAAGAGATTCTGATACTTTGTTAGGTTATGCCTCCTTTTAGAGAGAAATACGACCTAGTATCAAGATTTGGGTGTGATAAGATTATGCGCTAACGTGGTCATCCTTATGTTGATGAAATTTGTTGGCCGATCCACCAAATAATATTGAAGCACAAAAATGCTTGTAAAGGCAGCTGACCCAGCTTATCTCATCAATTTAACCAGGGTCACTAACAGAATAACGAAATCCCGATCATTCTTTTCTTCTTGGTTCATTGATGAATCGGGGCTGATGTTAAGCTTTTTTACAACTACTCTGAGTTATTATCGGTTTTGTGTACAGAAGTTAACATACACCCGAGTATACGTGAATTAGCCAAAACTTTATATATACATCTATATCTTAAATTTTACTCACAATGATTATAAATAGCATGAAGAAAAAAGTCTTCTTGACTTAGTGTTAGCTTTAGGCTCTTGCAAGAATGAGTCACGATTCTAAAGATGATCGTCAAGTGACAAACGAAAGCTCAGCCAGTCTTCGCCCGAAACGTTGGAAGATATCTCCTGAACTGCTTCAATCTGAATGAGTCGTCGTCTTGTGGCGAGATTGACATATGTATCAATATATCATGTATTTGCATATAGAATGATGGTCTTCACAACAATAAGTTAAGTAGAGGTCTTGGAAATTGTCCTTAAATTTACCGGTAGACAAATATGGTGATAGAAATAACCCAAGTCGTTTGAGATAAGGAATGACTTGAAAGTTAATTTCTGCATAATAAAATGAGGTCCATTATAGGATATAATGATACTATCGAGACCTACTAATTATGAATATAGTAATACAATAGAACTTTTTTTAAATAAGAATCCGTGTAAAATTGTAATATAGGAAAGGCTTGAATTGTTTTAGAAGTGACATCTGCGATGTGGCCAACATTCTCCGGTAATTGTGTGGCGTTGCGACAAATTGGATAAAAAACTGTGTACAAGAGCCGGGTTAGGTCTCACAGGAAGCTGTGGGCTGATTGCCTTGGGACTGTGACTGCAAATGTGCGCAAATAAGTACTCTACGCATCGCCCTGCGATCCCTATGAATCGTTTCAGAGCTTTCGTCCATCATAAATGAGCATCGTCCAAGTAACGATAATTCACTAAAGCATAAAGACAAGAAATGTAAACGGCTTCAAGCCTATCTCTATCTTATACTCCAACGTGATCAATAGCATAATTCATTTTAAGATTTGCTTGGCCATCCTATGCTTTGCTTAAATGGTTGCTAATAGGTCAGGCTAAGTGGCTACGGATGACTCGTGAAGTGGCTGCCAATGAAGACTGAGACGGATGCAATTGTGGCCA